AAACCTTAAATTTAAAAATATAAGATCAAACATAACCAAATTTTCTATTGTTATTATGATGTTTGGGCTCTAATTAATCATATATATATATATATTATGAGGGTTGATGTATTTTTTTTATATCTCGATCTTTGATTCGTGGGTGGAGCCAAATATCAAATTTTCTTCTAGTTATTCTGTATATTATCTTTTTTATTCGATGTTGTAATTAAAACTTATTGTTCTTAAATTCATGGAGATATCCAGCAACGAATAAGTTATATTCTCACATATTTATCATTAAAGTCTTTCAATAGTTATTCGAATAATTACATATCTAATTTGACCTATGAATTGATATCTAAATCTTAAAACGTAATCTTATGTTTACTTGAATAATAGCAATGAGATTACTCAATAATAATTTTATATGAACATGAAACTAAATTATTTTTTTTACCTTCATATCAACAACTATTTTAGTTAATTCAATTTGTGTTTTCAAATTTTAGTTGTGTTTTTTTTTTTTTTTTTTGCTATAAATGAGAAAAGTAAAACTAATAAAAAACAAAATTTAATGCTCGATTAACCGAGTTTAAGTAGTACACCCATAATCGAGATAGATGGCAGAGTATAGATATTCTTATAGTTAATTGTGATTAGAAAAAAATATCTCACTATATGTTATGCTACGTGTGTGTGTATATATATATATATATTTAAAGTTTAAGTGTATTAAGTACTTATAAATTATAAATATTTTCTTTTATTAAAAAATATTTAGTATATTAATATAATTTCAAAATCTCTAGTGTCTGAAAATATAATAATCATTTTTTTATTTAAAAAAAGGCAAATGCTATCATTTAAGTTTTCTTACAAGCAAGTTTTATATGAATGTAGATTGGTCAACACATGTCATAAATACCATTAAATTTTAATAAAAATTAAAAATAGGTCCGTTACATGATTAATAAAATTTTAAAAATAATTTCTTAAACATATATATAATTTTTCTTCTAAGCATATATATATATATATATATAGATATAGATATTATCCTGAGTTTTCTTCTACGCGTACTTCTTATCTGCTGTACGTACTCGCGAGGAGAAGACTTCATTATTTTTTGAGAAAGCTTCCCGCTCTTTAATCATTCATTAATATTTTTATTAATATTTTTGTAAATAATTTTAAGCCTGCCTCCATCTCCGGTCTCATTAGTCAAACTTATATGCTTTTCTTTTCTATTTTCTCTGTTTATAACCCAGTCACTTTTCCCAAGATTTATATATATATATATGTGTGTGTCGAAGTGATTCTGTCTTCTTTCCTGTCTGAACCAAAATTCACACTCACTCAGTCTCCTAATTCCGCCATGGATGAACACACGACAACCAGACAAAAACCAGCTCTTAACACCCACAACAAAAGCAAACTTGTAAGAACATTTCACAAGTTGATAAACTTGAAATCTGCACCAAACATCACTTCCAACAATGGAATTAGCATTTGCATGCTCAATTCACAGACCCACAAGTTCAACGGCGACGCAGATTTCTTCACCCATTCCAACGATCCCAAATCCAGACACAAAGCTCTAATTCTCGAAGCTGTGTTGGCCAAGATATTCGCCAGCATTACCTCCATTAAAGCTGCTTACGCAGAGCTGCAAATGGCGCAGCATCCTTACAACAGTAAAGCCATTCAAGTCGCCGATCAAGCTGTTGTGATGAGCTCAAAGCTTTGTCGGATCTCAAGCGTAGTTTCTTAAAGAAACAAGTGGATCTTTCTCCGCAGGTCACGTTCATGTTAGCTGAGATTCAAGAGCAACAGAGCTTGATGAAAACCTACGAGATCACCATCAAGAAGCTGCAAACTGAAATTGAAACCAAAAGATCCGACGTCGTTTCACTCAAGAAGAAGCTCGATGACTCCCTTGCCTTCAACAAATCAATGGAGAAGAAGCTCAACGCCAGCGGGTCTTTGGCAAACATGTTTGATTACATACAATTTTCAACCGTCAACTCAAGCCATTTCGTTCAGGTTCTTCACTATACTTTAAGATCTTTGCGGAGCTTCGTGAAATCAATGGCGCGGGAGATGGAATCTGCCCGCTGGGATCTCGACGCAGCTGCAAAATCAATTGAACCAGACGCCGTCTTTGCCCGGCCGAGTCACCGGTGTTTCGCTTTCGAATCTTTCGTCTGCAAAACCATGTTTGAAAATTTCGATTCTCCTAATTTCTCGCTCTGTACTACCGGCGACTCTCTGGTACAGAGACGAAGCCCAGAACAGTACTTCAACAGGTTGAAGAAGCTCAAATCCATGAACGCAATTCAGTTTCTGTCTCAAAATCCGACTTCATCTTTTGCCAAGTTCATTCGGGTCAAGTACCTGAACCTAGTTCACGCGAAAATGGAGTGCTCGCTTTTCGGGAATCTGAACCAGAGGAAGTTGGTGACAGCTGGTGGGTTACCAGACTCTGCTTTTTTCTGCTCGTTTGCAGAGATGACGAAACGAGTATGGCTCTTACACTGCTTGGCGTTCTCTTTGGGGAAGGAGATATCCATTTTTCAGGTGAAGAAGAACTCCAGGTTCTCAGAGGTTTACATGGAAAATATCACCGATGAATCTATCTTCTCCGGCGAAAACTCCGATGATATTCGCGTGGGTTTCACCGTTGTTCCGGGATTCAAAATAGGCGGCACGTTGATTCAGTCTCAGGTTTACTTACCACCGGTCGTTACAGCTCCGGCCGGTTAGTCGCCGACTCTTTTTCTTTTCTTTTCTTTTCTTTCCTTTTCTTTTCTTATCTATTTCACTAGTTCCTACAATCAAAATACGAAGAGGATGACCCGCGCGTAATGACACGCTCCGGTCGTTAAACTGCCCCATTCAAGGTTAACTAACAAGCGTAGTTTCCACTTGAAAGGCGCAGTGACCTACCGGTTCACCGCGGCGCGCGTACGTCACGCGATTCAGAGTTTCATGGTTTCCCACCCAAAAGTAGCTTATAAAAAGAAAAAGGAGAGAAAATCAGGTTATGGGGATTGGAGTTGATAATAGAGAAAGAAAATGGTGGGGGGACATAAAAGTAAAAATAAACTAAAGAAAAGAAAAAAATTTCAATATCAAACTATTAGTAGGGTTTTATTTATTTATTTATTTTTCTTTTATATAAAAAGTTAAAATATTAGTGGTTAGAAATGTAATATACATATATATATATATATATATATTCCAATTTTGTTTTGTTTAAAGATGCCAGGAAAATGAGAGACAAGGTATGCTTGCATTAGAAAAAATGTATAATTAAAATAGTGTATACTATCATTGCCTAAGAAATTTGCCATCATTTCTTCCCATCTAAATGTCTTGTGTATATGTGAATCTTGGTTGGTTATGTATAGTGGAGTGTATTATAATTCATGTTACATAATTTTTATTACAAAATTTACCCTATATTTATGTTCACTAATTACATCTTTTTAAATTACTATTTGGGTTTACAATATAAACCAATATATATATATGAGAGTGGAGTGTATAAGCATGATTATTTTCCACTGGGTTACCATCAAAATATTCCTCTCATGCATATATATATATATATATATTTTGGGTTTAATTCATACTTGTTGCTGGGGTATTCACAATCATGAGCGATGTTAAAGTTGAACCAGAGAACTGTGGTCCAATTTGATTTTGGTTTAGGTTTTTTAAAAAAATGTTCTTTTAACAGTTTGACTCTTTTTTTTTTTTTAATTTTTTAAGAGCTCTAAAATATAAAAAGGAGCGAGAACTTTAGCTTGAATTGATTCAACAATGAAAAATATGAAGGAGAATTGCCTTCTCATAGAATCTTTTTTATAGGAATTTAATTTGTAAAGTTTTTATTTTTTTGATAATCAAAGTACAAAGATTTATGAATTAGTCGATGTTTAAACAATCGTTTGTAATAGGATAAATAAAAAAGATAATAAATTTTAAATAACTAAAAAAAATAAGAAGGGGTAAGATATACTTAATATATATATATATATTATTTAAAAAAGAATTTTTAAATTTGGTTCAAATTAGTTTTCTACTTTAATAAAGTTTAAGATTCTATTAAAGATATGTTATTTGGAATATTTTAATTTTTGAATCTCAATAGTATTGCTTTTCATGAGATATTTATAATAAATCAAACTTTAGTTTAGTTTGATTCAAACTCATATTAGAGAACAATTTTAATTGTGAGGATGTGAGAAAGGTCTCAATATAGAAGTTTAATGGGAGTGACTCCTATTTAAAATAGTAAATATTTTGGATATATTATGCGGCACAAACATAAAGAAACTAATGTCTCACCGCATATTCAAATACTATAACACTTCCATTTGATATCTAAAATCTTTGGAAGACTAAGAGGTCGACATTTTGAAAGTAATCATTTGATTGTCACATGGCTTTAGTGTAAGTAGAAAATTATTAGTAATATGTTCTTAACTTAATTGTAATGATTCTGAAAATTCTAAAAAAAATAAATTATAAATTTAATGCGGAAGCGAAATAAATAGTTAGTGTTTAAATTTCTTACACAATAACTGAAAGTATTAAATATGGCTTACGGGAATAACCCTTTTAAAAGAACAATTAATAACCGAATAAATAAATTAAAAGTAAATATCTGAACGTCCTATTCGCAATCCTCTTGTGGATCGGGTTCTGGATTTTGTTCCTCTTGATCTGAAATGGTTAATGAAATAATGAGCTACACTAGCGTAGTAAAAATATCACGTTATTCACCGACACAAAAATGAATGTTAATAAAAATTATAAAAACAACTAATAGAGCTCTTAATTAAATAAAATCATTTATCATAATTAAAATCATTTACCATATACTTACCGTAGTGAGAATTATAAAAACAACCTATAGAGGTAATAACATAGCACATATTATAATTTTATATGCAATTGGTTGAAACAACAATTCTCTCTTTTATCAGTCTACTGATATCTATGGTGGTCCATAAGGATGTCCCCACAACGCGTGAACCATTTCTTTTAATATTTCTAATTAACGGGCTATTCTCATACCCCGTTCGGTATGAGCGCCAAATTACCAAATCTCGATACCATATCCGGTATGATGGTAAAACGAACTGTCACCATACCCCATTCGGTATGAACACCAAATTACCAAACCTCGATACCCTATCCGATATGAGACAACATTCACAGTAGGGTTCCTTATGTACCCAGTCCGTCCACCAACTCCCAGAATATCCAGTAAGACTGCTGTTTTATCCATTCACTTAATTAAATAATTTTCCGACTTCCTTTAATTCCCAGTTTCTCAATTCAACCATAATCACATGAAGCAAGCAATACATGCATTTAAACTATAAGATCAATCAATCAGGTATTATCATGTATTCAAACTGTAAAATAAATCAACAAAATCAACAGTGAATAACTTTTGATTTTGGCTCTATTAGTAACTTGTAATTAATTATGGATATTTTTTAAATCGCGCAAAATACCGTATTATTATTATTAATTAGACTTCAATTCAATAACAGAGAATAAGGTGAGGGATTCTTACTCAAATTAATGTCCGAAATGCTAAACTTATTGATCGTGCCTACTGGCAGTCCCCGGGTTCTCTAAATTTTTTTCAGAGATTAAAACGCACTTCAAGTACCTAAAAATATCCCCAAAAATCCAAAATCAGTGTTAGGACCCCTTTTTGGCGAATTCTGGAATTTTGGCACGATGGCTCTACTATGCTCCGGCAACGGCACCACCTCCTGCGGCGACAGTTTGTCTCGGGTCGGCTGTTTTCGACCATTTTTATATCAATCGCTGCGAAAAAATACGTTAAGAGGCCTCGGTTAGCCCAAAAAAATCAAAAAATCGAAACTCACTTTTGCGGTTGGGTGTTTCGCTTTTGCAACCTGTAGAGAAGGAAACGGTGATTACAATGGCGGAAGAATTACGCATAACAAAAATCGAGAAGGGCCTCATCAGAGGTAGTTTTTGTAATTTTCTGTGGCGGCATCGCCGAACTTTGCCCGCAGTTTTTGTCCAATCTACCAGTCCTTTTGCTCCGATTTGGTCATGAGGGTGTTTAAAATTGAACTCCGAGCATAGAAAAAATTGTTTACCTCTTTCAGCAGTCAGAAGTGGTTCTGGTGCGGCGGCGGCGACGGTTGGCTTCCTTTCTGGCGTCTAGGTATTCTTCTCCGATTGGGGGGGGGGGGGGGGGGAAGGGGTCTGGCGGCTAGGATTAAGATTTGGTGTGAAGAGGGTTATTTATATCCGTTTTCTTTTAATATAGCCTGTCTATCGCGTTTGATCTGCACCGTCAATTGCAATTTAAATATGGAGTAAATTGGGCCGTTTTTATCGCAATTTAATCTGGGCCTCCAATCGCGTTTAAATAAGAATATGGGCCTCCAATCGCGTTTAAATAAGAAATGGATCTGGACCATTCATCGCATTTAAATCTGACCGTCCGATTACATCCGGGGAGGGAATGAATCTGGATTGTTCGTGCGCACAGGAACGAATCTGGATCGTTTGATCGCGGGTAAGAAGATCTCCCGCGTGGCACCGCGTCAGCGTCCCTTGCCACGCGGCGCGCTCCGGTTCGTCAGGGCTGGTAACTAGGCATCCTACATAGCACAATTTTCTTAAATTGTATTTTGACCCTCAGTTTCTGAATTTTCTTTTAAAAATACATCAAGAACCCAAATTTTCACTCTTTTTTTCAAAATTATTTTCAATTTCATCATCCATTTAATTTTCTTTATTTTTACGTTAATTAATAATTTAAAAAATTAAAAATTAAATTTTATACATTAAATAAAAATTCAAAAATTACATTTACACATTAATTTTAAACATTTTAAAGTTAATTGAGGGTATTATAACTCTTTCCTCTTTAAAAAAAATTTGGTTTCTCAAATTTGTCTCTCTCCCACTCAATCAAATAGTTGGGGATATTGGGTTATGAAGTCTGATTCTAGCTCCCATGTGGCCTCTCCCAGTGTGTGATTCTGCAATAGGACCTTAACAAAGAAAATTTTTCTGTTGCAGAGTACTCTATTCTTTCAGTCCATAATGTCGACTGGTACTTCCTCGTAGGACATATTCTCCTGGAGTGAAAAAGGCTCATGGGCCATGACATGAGAGGGGTCCAGGTTGTACTTGCATAACATGGACACATGAAACACATTATGAATCTTGAAAAGTTTTAGAGGCAGTGCCAGTCTGTAGGCGACAGTGTCAATTCTATTTAAGATTTTAAATAGCCTAATAAATCGGGGATTTAGCTTCCCCCTCTTGCCAAACCTACGAATTTTTTTGAAATGAATGACTTTAATGAACATTCGATTGCTTTTTTCGAATTTCAAATCTCTCCTCAGGATGTCCGCATAACTCTTATGTCTGCTTTTAGCCGTCCGAATATTCTTCTTGATCTTAACTATTTTGGTCGTAGTCTCCTCTACGAGATATAGGCCGAACAGTTTTCTATCACTCACTTCTTCCCAAAATATTGGCGATCTGCATGGGTGACCATACAACGCCTCGTACGGAGCCATACCAATACTTATTTTGTAGCTATTGTTATAGGCAAACTGTATCAGGGGTAAATAGTCATCCCAATGGCCCCCGAAGTCAAGAACACAAGCTCGAAGCATATCCTCAAATGTGTGAATCGTCCTTTCTGACTGTCCATCGGTTTGAGGGTAGAATGTAGTACTAAGGGACAATTTTATTCTCATGACTTGCTGAAAGTTAGACCAGAACCGAGAAGTGAATCTAGGGTCATTGCCGAACACTACTGTCATTAGCACTCTATGTAATTTGACTATATTCCGGATATACATTCTTACTAACTTGTCTAATGGGTCAGTCATCCTAATGGCTACGAAGTGGAAAGACTTGGTAAACCGGTCAACAATTACCCAGATGGCATCATGTCCTGAGCGTGCCCTAGGTAATCCTATCACGAAATCTATTGTGATATGTTCTCATTTCCACTCCGGGATTGGTAATGGCTGAAGTAGCCTGTTTGGGTGTTAATGCTCTACTTTGCCTTGCTAACATACCAAACACTTAGAAACAAAGTCAGTCACATCTCTTTT